GCGCCCGCGCCGGGGCGTGCGGGGTCGTTCGGGGCGGCGCTGGCGGCGGAAGGCAGTAGGACAGCGCTGGTTGGAGTGCCGGCGGCGAGCGACCAATTTTCCGCGTGGGGTGAGCTGCACTGCTCCTGGGTTTGGCGGTCAAATCACCGCCTACTGCGATCTTGTGCTGTCGCCGCTTTTTGGCGGCCCTCTCTTCCGATGCAGTCTGTCGTGGTCGCACGCCCCTCGCCTGCTTTTGCTGCGAGTCACCCTCGTCCCTCCCGCCACAAGGACACAGCCCGCACTGAAAAGCAATCCCCTGTCTCGTGCGTGCAGGCGCAGAGGAGGGCTTCGGCCCCTCGGCCGCCGCCACCTTCGGGCTCTCTTCGGAAGGCGGGGAGCCGCGTACGCTTGGCGGCGTGGCGGCCGCCGAGTGGGGCGGCGCGTTTGCGGGGACGCAGGTCAGCCCCGAGTGGGCGGGCAACTACGTGGCAGCTTCCCCCCAGGTGCGCGGGGTGACTCCATTGGATAGCTCAGCGCTCAGCCACGATGGGCCCCCAAGGATGCTGTCAAGCGCCTTGGCGGCATATTTTGCATGTATACGTTTGCACAACGGTGATACATCTGCGCAGCACTAACGCTTCCCTTCACGCATACACACCTGCAAATCTGAGTCGAGCCCTTTGCCGACATCTGCCATCCCCCAACTGCCCCCCCCCAAAACAAGGTCTTGGCCCAGAGCCACACCAAGCGCCAGGCCGCCGTCAACCGCCGCGGGCCGCGCGGGGCGGCCGGCATGATGGGGCCATCCCTCGGCGCCGGGGCCGGGTGAGCCCAGGGATGCGCCCACGGGTCGGGCCGCTGTGCACCGCAGGCGGAGTGCCTGGATGGACTCGGGTCCGCCGCTCCTGACTGGCCTGGGTTGCCTTGCCTTGCGTTTCTGTGCGTTGCCTCGCCCTGCGTTACCTTATGCCAGCTTTGCTTGCCCTGATTAGCCTTGCGCCCAGTCTAAAGCCCAGCGCGACGTGATCGGCTGGGACTGAGGTGCTGCGCTACCGCCTCTGCTTATATGGCCTTTGCCTCACCCAGCGGCTGCCAGCTGCCGCCCTGGATGCTCTGCCCCCACCATCCGCTCCTATCCTCAGCTCACATGGTACTGCCGCCCACCACCACGACCCCGTAACGTTTGGCAGGTTGCCTGCAAACGGCGGTGGCCCTGCGGGTGCGCAGCAGCCGTGGCAGGTGGCGCCGCCGCCGCGGCCCGGCGGCACGCTCGCGATGACGCCTCTCCCCATCGGCCCGGCGCGGACGCCGCCAGCAGCAGCAGCATCAGCAGCAGCGAGGGGCGGGGCCATAGCCAGGCAGGCGGCGGCGGGCTCGGCCGCGCCGACGGGGCAGCAGCTACCGACCGGACCTCTGCGGGAGCAGGACGCCATCTTGTAGCGGGCAGCCATAGTTGGGTGTAACGCATTGTCGAGAGAATCATCGAAGCGTGTCAAGGCTTGTGGAGTGTTGCAGCTTCAGTGATGAACATGAGGGTGTTATTGAGGGTGGCTCTGCAGCTACACACGGGTTGGGGTCCATATGGAAGCGAGTCGGGTGCATGTAGTTTGGTACATGTGAGCGCAGTTGTAGGCCGCCTTGCGCGAAGCGGGACGCTCAAAATAAGCATCACCCACATCTTGTGTTTGGGTGTATCAGCTACCATTTCAGACACCAGGGCAGCAAAGAGGAGGGCCTTCCTGGCTCTGGAGTGTGGTTGATCAGCCAAGGTTACTGGCTGCATCCTCAGCAGCATGAACAACACTCCGACGAGGGTGGTCAACAGGAGGCGAAATGGTCAAAAAGATTGCGGCACGGCCAGGTATGCGTGGATGAACAACCATTCAATAGTAAAGGGCTCTGGTTACCGGCCTCACTCATCCAGTCCAAGTCTGTGCATGCATCCTCGTGCTGAGCACAGGTCTGTTGTGTGACAAGGCGGTCTGTTGTGCTGAGGTGGAGCGCCGCGGGACTGTGCCCTGCTTGATTCTGCGGAGCAAAGCGCGTTTTTTTACTAGTATATTCACAACTTATTCTACTTCACTAAGTCATGGGCTAAACGGTCACCGCAGGGAATGGGAAAAGTCACTCCCGCATTTTTGCACACAGGACATAAGCCGGAAGCGTAGAGGACCCTGAACACAATATCTCCAGGAGCTTTTGTGAGCACTTTCAGCCGCCGTATTCTCTTGTGCTCACAACAAAAGCTCGTGATCACTAAGGCTATCGCCCTCCTCCCAGGTGAGGGCGTCTTGCGCTGCGGATTATGTTGTATGTGCATTCAATCGCCTCATAATCACCTTATAAGCGGCGTTCCCGGGACGGCAGGTCCCGTTGCTTGAAGTCTCCGCGTCGCTGACATGGCACGCTGCGGGAACCACCCCGCAGCGTGCGATTGCCCCGGGCGCCTCGAGCCCCCACGCCGCTCATCCACTCCGTCAAATCAAGTGGTCTGCAGACTTGCAGAGCAGCTGCCCATGCTGCACGGCACGAACCGCCCCGGGCGCACGGCCTCTGGTCTTGCAGCTGTTGTCCCCCGAACCAACGCGTGCCCTCCAACGCGCCCTGCCCTTTTGCTATTGCAGCCATCATGGCCTCCAGCGATGCCAACCGCTTTGAGGGCGTGAAGCGTGTTTTCACCAGGTGGGTGGCGCCACAGGCGGCAAAGGCCCGCTCAGGTCCCCGGGGGATTCGGCTAGGCGAGAGCGGGCGGGGGCGGCACCCAGCGCTGACTGGGCGCGGTTGTGTTTGGTTAGCTGCTGCCTTGAACGGGCGGCTACGGAGTGCATGTAGACCGCTAATCATACACAATAATCATGACTTGATCGATTTGATTCTGATATGGGGCTGTTGCCCTGGTGTGTGGCGCTGCCCTGCCCCTATGCACACGTATTCACACGCACAACCACCACGCGCCCCCAGAACCGAACTCGATATCACTTGAACTTTCGAACATCCCTCTCTGGGCATTGCCTCGCCTTTACAGCTCACCAAATCTATCACACAGAGCAACCTCCAAACATTGACACCTCTCACATGCCTGCTCCCGTGCGCCCTCCATCCACAACATGCAATGCAGGCAGGACGTGCTGCAGCTGCGCGGCTCCATCCACATCGAGCACTCGCTGGCCCGCCTCGGGGCGGAGCGCCTGTGGAAGCTGCTCAACGAGGGCGGTGACTCATACGTGCACGCGCTGGGCGCCCTGACCGGTGAGGGGCGGGCGACGACCTGGGTACCAGGGGCGTTGGGTGACTTGAATTGGAGGCTTGCGGCTGCATGTCCACTGCCTGCATCAGCTCCTGACGTGCCAGACTGCCCGGCTGACGGAACGGCTTTGCGCCACCTCTGCTCCTGAGCGAGCCCAACTTTTTGATCCCTCATGAAACCACCGCCGCCGCCCGCTCCCTCCCATCACAACAGGCAACCAAGCCGTTCAGCAGGTGGCTGGCGGCCTGAGGGCCATCTATCTTTCCGGCTGGCAGGTGGCCGCCGACGCCAACACGGCGCTGGCCACCTACCCCGACCAGTCGCTGTACCCGGCTGACAGCGTGCCCAAGGTGGTGGAGCGCATCAACAATGTGAGCAATGGGTGGGGATTGAACCCGTGTGAGCGCCTTGTCACTGTTGGGGGTGCGACGCAGGTCGGCAGGCGCAGTGTTTGGGATGCACGCAGCGATCCGCCAAGCGACGTCGGGATGTGTGCGTTGAATTGGACAGGTCTGCCTCGAGGGCGCCATGACTGCCAGCGCGTTCCCAGGGCCTTGCTTTGCTGGACAGGGCGGGAGGCTGTCGAGTGTCTGCGCCTGTGGCCTCGCAAACACTTTTTTGGCCCCGCTTCATAAGCGCCGGCCGACGCACCCATCGCCGCCCGCTGCTCACCCCCTGTCCTCCCTCCCTCTCTCCACATCATCGCAGGCCTTCCAGCGTGCCGACCAGATTGCCCACGCGGCCGGCAAGACCGACACCCACTGGTTTGCGCCCATCGTCGCCGACGCAGAGGCCGGCTTTGGCGGCAACCTCAACGCGTACGAGCTCATGCGCGCGCTCATCAAGGCCGGCGCGGCGGGGGTGCACTTTGAGGACCAGCTGGCCTCGGCCAAGAAGTGCGGCCACCTCGGGGGCAAGGTGGGCGCTGCTTTCGTCTGCTCTTTCTATTGACGGGCGGGTCGCAGGTTTGCCGGGTAGAGATTTTCCTGTGCGGCTGGCGCCTTTCCTGCAGCCCTGCAAGGCGCGGGCTTTTGCCCCTGGTGCAAGCACGTTTTCTTTATATCCTGCCCCCAACAAGCTCAGTGGCAAGCGCTCCCTGGTCCCCAAAGTACTACCTCACTTTTCCCGTCGTCACGCCACCCCAGGTGCTCGTACCCACCAAGGAGTTTGTGGCCAAGCTGCAGGCCGCGCGCCTCGCGGCCGACGTGTGCGACGTCCCCACTATCCTCATCGCGCGCACCGACGCGCTCGGCGCCTTCCTCCTGACCAGCGATGTGGACGAGTACGACCGCCCCTTCTGCACCGGTGGGCGCCTGCGCTCGCCCCGCGTAGGCATCGCGCCGCTGCACACGGTGGGGCATACCTTTGCTGGCGGTCTGCGTGTGTGTAAAATCATTGTGGCAAGGCTTGCACGCCAAAGGGCGCCTTTCCTGTCCAGCAGACGTTGCCCCGGCGGCGCGCCACGGTTGAGCAACACACAACGCGCCTCCCAATCACCTGGACTGCCTTTTCGCTTTGATGATACCACCGCAGGCGAGCGCACGTCTGAGGGATTCTACTGCATCAAGGGCGGCATCGATGCCGCCATTGCGCGCGGCCTGGCCTACGCCCCTTACGCAGACCTCCTCTGGTTTGAGGTGCGCGCGTCGGCTTAGCAAGATTCGGGGGTTCCCTAATGTGATTGGCTGTCGTACGTGCATGCAACACCGCAGCACCCTGTTGCGCGCCGGCCTGATGGCCGTGCTGACTTATATCTTGGAGCCGGCCTGCCTGCTGGTGCTCTACCACGAGCACGATTGCAGCGTCCAGTCTGCCACCACGCGCGGCCACCCGCCTCGAGCACCCCGTGCCGGCCGCCCAAGCTGCTTGGATGCCTGTCACCTCGCTTGCGTTGACTCACAATCCTGCTCCCCCTTCCCAAAACCCCATTACCCCAGACCTCCGACCCCTCAATGGAGGAGGCCAAGAAGTTTGCGAAGGCCATCCACGCCAAGTTCCCCGGGAAGCTGCTCGCCTACAACTGCAGCCCCAGCTTCAACTGGAAGAAGAAGCTGAGCGATGAGCAGATCGCCACCTTCCAGCAGGACCTCGACAAGTGAGTGTTCTCCACCATTTTTTGAACTTCGAAACCCCCACCCTTCGATTGGGTTTGCGTGCGTGGGAGGGCTGGGTGCCACAGCAAGCTGTGCTGTGGGATAGTGGGGGCAGGGGTGTACGTGGACGAGTTCCTTCGCGCGGTGCCTTGGTACAGGGCAGGTTCCCTGAAAGCCGGGTGCTCGGCTCCTCGTCCCCCCCGCCAGGTCAATGTGCGCTCCTGGCAGCCCCAAGCAGCTCAACCCACCCTGCCCCCGCCACGAAACCCAATACCACCCCAGGCTGAACTACAAGTTCCAGTTTGTGACGCTGGCCGGCTTCCACGCCCTCAACTTCTCCATGTTCAGCCTGGCGCGCGAGTACGCCACCCGCGGCATGAGCGCATACGCAGACCTGCAGGTGCGCCCTCGAGCCATGTCGTGTGTGTTGCGTGTATGATCTCGTGCGTGCTGTGCACGTGCTGCATGTGTGCACTGTATGTGCATGCATGCTTGCGTGCGTGCGTGCGTGCGCATGCGTGCGTGCGCATGCGCGCGTGCGTGCGTAATCAGTCCAGGTGTGGTATTGGTATTCTTCTGGGAGGCAGAACCACACAGCTAGTATTGTCGTGGCCGCTGTGCGGTTTGGCACGGCTGGCAACCTCGGTTCCATCGCAAGCTGGCACCAAGGTCCGCCACACTCACCACCCCACGCCGCTGGTCTTACGTTGCACCACTCCGCAGGAGGCCGAGTTTGCGGCAGAGAAGCTGGGCTATGCGGCGGTCAAGCACCAGACATTTGTCGGTGGGTGCTCCTATCTGCCAAGCGGGGGCAGGCCTGCGTGGGGTGGCCTGCGGGTCGCCGCCGGTGTCCTCGCTGCAGGCCAAGAGCGAGCGTTTTCGGCTCAAACAGCGCCGCCAACGCTGACGAGAAATCTCGTCACCCAGATTCATCAAACACACCACCGTGTGATGCGCCAACTGATCCAAACTCAACTTCCACCCCCACCCCCAGGCACCGGCTACTTTGACATGCTGGCCCAAAAGGTGGTCGAGGAGGGCTGCTCAACCACCGCCCTCGCGGGGTCCACCGAGGCCGAGCAGTTCCACTGATCTGATCTGATCTCGGATCTGGTCTGACTCGGCGTGGTCGGCGGGCCTGTGGCGGCGGCCCAGTGGAGTGGCCCCCTCCGGGCGCCGGTCGGAGCAGGGTCAGCCCACAGCGCCATGGTTTTAGTCAGAGCTGGCGCAGCACGTTTGTCCGATGTATGTAGGGGCGGTTTTTTGCGCATCGCACCCCAGCCGCGCATGCGCCGCCGCCGCCGCACCATCCCAAGCTTCCCGCAACACGCGCAGCGGGCATGGAAGGCGAACCCCCTCCATTGTTTCACACGTCAACGCCTGTTTCTTCTCTTGTGTGCCCCAAGCCATCCAACCAGCGGCTTGCAAGTGCACGGATGTTTTGGTTTGCTTTGTAGGCCGTTGCACAGTCGCGCTCCTCTGATGTACAAAGATTAGTGTTGCACGAGCAGCCCCTGGGGACCTCATCCGGGCGGGGGTTTTCTGTAACAAACCGGTGATTCTTTCTTCCTCTGAAGCGCCACACAATGGGCGTGAGAGATTGGCTGTCTTCACGCACCTGGCACAGAATACAGGTAGCAGGGCGGGCATGCAGCAGCTTCAGGAAGTGGTTCCAATCGATTTGCAAATCAAGTGAGGACAGAGCAGCACAGCTTTTGCCTTGCTGGCTGGTCTGTTCAATGTAGGCCCAGCCCCCCATCGAGCAAAGCAAAACTGCTGTTCAAAACCCTCCGTCACGCACTCAGCCTACCCGCCAGCAAACCGAATTACTCATATGAGCAATCAACCGCCGCGCGCACCAGTCATCCAGAGGATAACAGGGTTGTCCTCGCGGCTGCAGGAGCGGCTCTGGTAATAGAAGTAGAACATGTGGGCGTCAGCCTGCAAGGGGATTACGGGGTGACGGGGAGGCTGCCGTGAGCGGTGGCGGAGGGATGGGGCAAGGAGGGGGAACGCTATGCTGGCAGTCTGAGCGGGAAGGCAGTTAGCCCCGTGGACGCTTGCCGCGGCGCGCACAGGATTAAGGTACATGGCCAGGTCAGAAGAGGGGGGCCGTGGGGCGTGTTGCGTGTTGCGAATCTCGGGGAGCATGCAATTTGGGGTACGGTCCGTGCGCCTGCGGTGAGAGGTGCAGCCGCTGGCGCGCGCCACTGCAGCACAGGCAGGCCCGCGGCGGCCAGGACCTCGGCCGTAAGCTCCCAACACTCAGGCAACCACGTGCGTACCACCCATGTGTTGCGTAACCCTTGCAAGCATTGGCTCGTCCTAGCGCTTGCCGCTGGCCAGCCCTTTGATAAGCCGTGAGTCTCTTGAGGGAGGATGTGGGCAGAGGGCGGGCAAGGCTTACTCATGACAGTGAGAGTTCACGTTCCCATTGGTGTGGTGCATCCTTGGTGCAGCTGCACGCGCGCAGCTATGGCGCATGGCATCCAATCGAAATCTTGTTTGAGTCACCCAGGCCTGTATATCCGCAAATCAGATTTGATCTCACGGCAACGACCACGGGACCGGGGCCCGACGGCCCCGCTCATATATTAGCAACTCGCTTGTAATAATAAAACGCATACGCTAGACATGCGCGGGCTGGCGGGCCGCGGTCGAACGTCGAGCCTCCTGATGGCAGGGATATCGAGGCCTGGGCTCTCGTCGAGGATCCCCGTGGCTCGCAGATGTCGAGCAATTGGCAGTGTCCTCGTGGGCGTGCGAGGTCGCCGCCCACCCTGCGATTGCGCGGCGAGGGGCGGGCGACAGCTAGTGGCGCCAACCACCGAGACGCCCAGCGCACACCTCGGAAAGCTTCCCAAGGCCCTCCCTCTGCCGGCGCGCGGCCCCGTGTTTGTCGTAGGTGCGGCAGCTTGCGGACTCGGCTGCCCCTGCATCGCTCGCCGCGTGGCGGTTGGGCCCGACCCTGGCCGCTGGCAGCTGTGGAGGCCCCGCATGTCGCGCGATTTTTGAAACGCCACGTGATCAACCTCTCCTCCAACCGCCTGCTGCGCTCCCAACATGCAACGCCATCAGGCGCGGAGGGGCGGGCGGCCCTGCTCCTCATCAGAGAGTTGGCATCGGCCGGCGTGAAAGTCATCGCTGGTACGCACAGCAGTTCAGAGTATCGGCCAATGCACCCGCTCGTCAGCTGGCCTCCCCGATGCCTGTCAGCCCCAGCCGCCCGACGCCGTCGCCGCCGGGCCCGCCTCGCTATCATGCTGTGACAGGCACGCTCGCCTGCCCACCATCCGTCCCGAGCCTGCCCGCCCACCTTCCGACCCCGTTGCCGCGCCCGCAGGCGTCTCGGACGCCAAAGCAGGCGAGAGGGCTCTTGCTTTCGCGCAGCAGTACGAGCTCATCCCGCCCTCTGCATTATTGAACGTGGCGGTGGCCGAGGTTGACCCTGCTGACCTGGCCGCCTCCATCCCCAAGTGAGCGCACAGCTGGCACGCCAGCCATCCCTGCTGCAACAACATTTCTGGGACCCAGAGCGCGCCGCATCACCCAACCCGCAGCTTGCATGGCGGTTCAGGGTGCAGCCACCCTCCCTACGCCCAGACCCATGGGCGTGACCGGTGTATACTGACCCTTCGTCTTCCTACCTCTTCGACTGCCACACCACTGTCAGGAGGGCCAGGGTAGTGGTTGTGCACGGCGACGCCCCCGCCTCTGGCGCCCGCCCCAACCCGCGCCTGCCGCGCCGCGCCCTCGACGCCGCCGCGGCCGCTGGTGCAGACGGATTCGTACTCGTCGCCGCTCCCGCCGGCGGCGGCCACAGGGGCTCGCGGCGGGCCGGCGGCGGCAGCGGGGCGGCCGCGCTCGCGGCGGCGGCGCTGGAGATTGGGATGCCTTTCGTGTCCGTGGAGGCGGGGGCAGGTGGGAAGGGCGTGGACAAAAACTCGGGTGGGAGCGGCGTGCTGCTGTCAGATGGAGAGGCTGGCGGGCTACCCCCAGGCGCCAGCACAGCCGGTGAGTGAGGAGGCGCGGCTGGCGGGGCGCAGCGCGCAGGTGTGCGAAGCTGCATGCCCCCAGGAGGCATGCCCGCAGGAAACCCAGATCCCAGCGGCTGGGCGCCTCGTGCTTGCACGCGCCATCATGCACGGATGCACGCACTCTCACACCGCGCACCCCACCCCCGGCGTCCGGGCAGGCCCCAGCGAGGCAGCGCAGGCCGTCGCCGCTCTCCTATCCTCTCCGGGCCCCCTTCCTGCCGGCGGCGCCTCGCTAGTCGTCGGCTCTGCGGGGAAGGGCACCTTGGGGCAGCCCCTGGGCGCCCTGAGGGCGAGGCTGGAGGAGCTGCTGGAAGCTGCCGAGCAGCTGGGCGCAGAGCGCGCGGCCGCCGCGGCTGGCGCGCGGCAGGACCGCGCGCGGGCGCGGGCGGGGCGCCTGGGGGGCGGTCGCGCGGCTGCGACGAGGGGGCGGCGGGGAGGCAGCCATGAGGATCAGGGGCATCAAGCCTTGTGGCAGGCGGCGCCATTCGCCAGCCTCTTTGGCCGCGCGCCCTTGGCGAGAACCGAGCAAGAGGACAATGAGGAGGAGCCGCCGTCGCAGCCGTGGCTTTCAGCGCCTTTCGGCGGCCTCTTCGGCCGCGGGCCCGCGGCAGAGCCGGCCGCGGCAGACGAGAGGGCAGACAAGGGGGAAGCCGCCGCGCCGGCTCCGTGGCTCGTTGCGCCCTTCGGCGGTCTCTTTTCGCGCGCGCCCGCAGCCAGGCCGACGGCGGCAGTCAAGGAGGTCGGAGCAGCAGCGGCGGAGCAGCCAGCATGGTCCCCCGCGGAGCTGTTTGCCAGCCTCTTCAGGAGTTTGGGACTGGATGGTTCCTCTCAGTCGGCAGACAAAGAGGAGGCGCACAATGTTTTTGAGGGAATCGAGGCCAAAGCAAAGCCAGAGATGCCGTTCGGCTCCCTTTGGCTGCAGCCGCAGCGCCGCTCGCCTGCCAAGGCGGTGGCCCGCCGGCACGCGGTGCCGGACGCCAGGGTGCTGGCGCCAATCATTAACGGGGGCGGCGCGTTCTTGATGCCGAGCTTCGTGATGGTGAGGTCGTGATTCACACAGCAACACAGCTCACACATACCGCTGGAGTGGCCGCTGCCGGTGCATGACGGCGCAGCGGCCGCGCGCGCCTCCACCCCATGCCATGTGGCGTGCAGCAGCTCTGCCGCTCGCCTCAACCTGCTCTCCCTCCTCACTCTACCCACTCTCGCAGCCCGTGGGACCTGTGGCGAAGGGCGGGGAGGTGTTCAGCGAGATCACGCGCCGAATCAAGGTGGGGCTGGGTGCGGCAGCAAGCAGCGATGGTAGACCTCGCGCTCTGCCCCCACCCTGCGAGCCGCCCAGCCGGTCGGCGCCGGCGGCTGGCGCACACGCACGACGAGGTTTCTGCTTCTGCGGCCTTGCCCGACAGCGCCTCGCAGGCCGCGCCGCCGATCGGCGCCCTGCGCCTTGCAGCCCAGGCCACAATTGTTGCAACCTTGCTCCCTCGCTGCACCCATTGTGGCCTGCCGTTCGGTGCATCCCCAATGCCCGTCCCGTTAGTTGCACATTTGGTTGCAAAACCACAGCCAGTGACCTGATAAGAGGAATTGAGATCGCTCTGCGCGCCTCCGTGCCAGGCCAAGGCGGCGGCGGAGGGCACAGCTGACAGGAAGCTTCTAGCTGCCCACGCAAGGCGCAAGAAGGAGCTCGATGCGGCCGAGGCGCGCGCCCTCGCGGCGCACACGCGCGCGCAGCGCCACGCGGCCGCCCAGGCACGCGCCGACAAGCACGCCGCCGCGGCAGCGGCGGCGCGCGCTCTGAGGGAGCAGGCGGCGGGCTCGGCGAAGGCGAGGGCCGAGGCGGCCGCGCGTGCGGCGGAGGAGCGGGCAGAGCAGCTCCGGCGGCGGAAGGCGGAGGCCGCCGCGGCGGCGGCTGCGAAGGCGGAGGCGGCCCGGCGCGCCAGGGCGGAGGCCAAGGCGGCGGCGAGGGCCCGGGCGGACGCGGCGGCGCGCGCGGGCGCCGCTCGGGCGGAGGAGGCGAGGCGGCAGCGGGTGAAGGCGGCGGCGCGCGTGGTTGCCGAGAGGGAGAGGCAGCAGGTGCGTGTGCTTGGTATGCTGCCGATCGCAAAGCGGTGCAGCGCGGGGCATGTGTTCTTGCGCTTTCTACAAGGCAAGCGCGCTGGTGCGCGCGTGGCAGAGGTTTTGCAGCACTGACTGCCGAGTCTGTGTGTCGCTCACACACCGCAGGCCGAGGCCAGGGCTCGGGCTGAGAGGGAGCGGCAGGAGAAGCAGGCGGCCCTCACTAGGAAGAAGCAGGAGGTGGGCGCCTGACGGCTCGTCGGGGGGTGGGGAGGGCTTCGCGTACGAGCCTGGCGGTTGGGGGGCTATGACGGGCGCTGAGGCCCACAGCTGTCTCGAGCGCTGCCAAACACCAGAGATCAACAACGAACCTGTCACATAGCATGGTAGCAGCAGCCCACCATTCTTCGCCCGCACGAAATTCCTGCAGGCTATGCGCGCCAAGGCCAGGTGCAGCAGCAAGGCCGCCACCGGAAAGGGCAACACATTGACCGGCAGCGGCGAGGCAAGAGGGAGCGGCAAAGTTGCCGCGGGCACGGGCAAGGCGACGGCTGGGAGCGGCAAGGCTGCCTTTGGCAGCAGAAACGTGGTGGCTGGAAGCCGCAAGGTGGGTCTTGATGAGCTGCCTGGGTGGCTGCGTGGCTGCTGCCGGCGCTGCCGTCCTCGGGCTCGCGCATGCGGACGAGGTTTTCACACGCCAGTTGTTGGGGCGGGATGCCGATGACAGCACAGGTTGACGCCGCCGTTGGTGTGCCGTTATCTTGCATGCGCAGGGCGCCCTCAAGAGCAGCGCGCCTGCTGCCGCCAAGCCGAGCGCTGGCTACATCACCTATGGACAGCGCCGGCGTTGACACAATATGAGATGGACACCGAGTCGAACGCCATCATTCCAGCAATGCCTGCAAACCACAGGCATACTCTGTCGACGTCACACCAGTCACCACCACCCAACCGGAATTGAAGAGACCAACATCCAGCACACAACCCACTTGAAAGCAACTAATTGAAGAGGCAACGCTTCCCTGGTTTGATCGCGCGCTGACGAGCCGAGGAGCTCCCCGAGGGAGAGGAGCAGCACACACACCACAGGTCATCCCACAGTACGGCATTAAGCCTGAACTCCCAAGGGCTTGCAAGCTTGCTGTATCAGTATACAAGCGCTTGCTTGTCATTATACTTTAGGCATCACACACGCTGCTGGAACAACGGGGCGTTGCCGTCGCATGTATCTAGCGGCGGCCCAACGATGGATCTCGAGCCTGATGCTGCATCGGTGACACGTGGCAACCCAGGTGTTTGCATGCCTGGCCACTGCAACTCTTGCCCCTTCAATCTCTGCCAGATGTCGCAATCATCGCTTTGACATGACCGTCGAAGGCGTTGAAAGCACAACCGATGGGCACTATATATCACATCTTTGCGCGTGATCAGCTGGGACGTAGAGCTGCGGCGTGCGGGTGCGCTGGCAGTTGAGTGCCTGGCATTGAACCCAGCTTTAGGCGATGTAAAAGAATCCCATTGCTGAACCAAAAGCATGTTCAACTATCTGGTGCTCATCTATGCGGGCTACCAGAGCCTGGGTAGGGCGCGTCCCCTCGTGACTGAGGGTTAGCCTGGGGATTCACTTGCAGCCAATCGTGCACCTCTTGACTGTATGTGCGTCCCTTATCTGTTTTGTTGCTCCGGCTCCGTGCGATAATAGATGTCTGTTGCATTACTACGGCAATTGGCAGCTGCAAGCAAGATCGGCGTCCCCTTGCGCGCAAACACTTGCAGTGCAGGCAGCTCATCACCTCTTGGTCCCTCTTTGGCAGCTTCCGGCTGGCGCAGCGCGCGGTCCACGGGTGGATTCGACGGGTGATCAGGTTTCAATGTGTCACATTAAGTCATATTGAAGGCACACTCAAAGTCCGAACACGTACCGTAGTCTCTGCTTGCTTGGACCGCGGAATAGTTCGGGTGACACCGCTTCGGCGGACGACGAACTAACTGCTTGTGCATCAAACAACCTAGGAACATCTGTTTGCATTAAAAGCGCTGTCTGGAGGACCACCACACCCGCGTGCCTGCGCGAGATCGCGGTTGCAGCCATGCACCTTCAGCATGGAGCGGCTCTGTCTACCATCATATTATTCATATGTGCTACAAGCTCTCTTGCTGCCGTGTGAGTCCAGCGAGCGAGCGCAGGGGCGGCCCGCATGCCTGCAGGTCTCGGGGCTGGGGTTGCGTCCAGAGGGCGGCTCGTCGCACGCACCTGGGTTCCCGGTTGGCACCTCTGCAGAGCCCGTCTTTGCGGCCCCCTCGTGTGGGGGCGAAAATGTGAAGCATCGACGTCATCTGTGCTGTGAGCCTATGCAGCTGCTGGCATCAGTTTGGAACGTTCCGCAGTCCAGCAAGAGCAGTGCGGGACAGGCTGCAGGACTGTCAGCCTGGCCGCACCACAGCCCCCGCATGACGCCGCAATCATCCAGCCGCACCACAGCCCCCGCCTGACGCCACGCACCCGCCTGCGTTTACAACATTCACTCATTGCCAGGCGCGGCCCTGCAGAGATCAGCACCAGCATCATCCTCGTGAACTTCAATGACATGGAGGGGTCCAAGGACGGCGTCGCGCCCTGCGTGTGGAGCATCAACAAGTCCAAGGGATTTGGCGCAAAGAAGATCAACTTTGTCGTCACCCTGAACGCACAGGGCAATTCCGGGCGCCTGGACCGGTGGGCAGCGCAGCTGTTGCTCGCAGGCGGCTGGCGCTGGCCGGCGGGCGGGCAGAGGGCGGGGATTATCGGCGAGGGCCGCCATACCACGGGAGTTGGGCCAGACGCAAGGACCCGCTGATCCAATTCACAAGCCCTTTCATATTCCATCAAGTGGTAGATTGCGTTGTCTTGCTTTGTTGAAGATTTCAAAGCAAGGGCGGCACCGCACACAACCACGTTGTTGAACATGTCGCGCTCAGACGGACGAACACTGTGGCGCGCCTGCGCTGATGCCAGGACAAGCCCACCCACCTGCATCATCTTGCACCCACATGCAACAATCAACGTCTCAACACATGCTAAACTTGCAACAGACAAATACATGCTCACACGCCACATAATCCCACGCAATTGGTGTGCAGGTACTTCTACAAGGACGGACGTGGAAGCCTCGTCCCTGCTGACAGCTACCAGATCAACCGGTTCAAGAACGGCCTCCAAAAGTGCTTCAAGGCTGCGCTCGACGCCGGTGGGCGACACTTTGCACTTGCAGCTGCCGCTTGATCCCTTCAAGGAGCAGGCTCGGGCTTGCCTGGCACTTGCCAGCGTCGAGCAGCCCCCAGCACCTGACGTCCAGACTGCCAAACCCCCCAGGACGCCTCGCCCTCGCCCCCTTAAGGCAACCCCTTGCTCCAACCTGCGTCGCCCCAGGCTTCACGGGCATCCACATCCTGCCGCACGTTGACCCGGTGGACGCCAGCGGGAAGGGCATGTGGCGCAACGTCGTGAAGTTTGACCCCACCCAGAAGATCGGCCCTGGCGGCAACGCCTTCAGCTATGAGGACGTGCGCCCCCCACTGTGGTTTCTTTTTCCGGATGCGTCCGTCTTGTCATGTGCAGTCCATCCTGGAGCAAGCACAGCAACTAGTGGGGCAGGGAACAGCGGATCATGCAAAGCTTTTGTGGGAGTGGTCTGTACTTTCTGGGGGTGCTTGCAAGCTGCTGCAGACTGTGGCCTGTGCAGATACCCTCGCCCCACCAATGCCCCCCATCACATGGCGCCGCTGCCGCAGGTCCTGCTGACACCCACGGCCCAGGCCATCAACGCTGTTGTGGGCCCCAACACCCTGGTCGAGTTCACTCTTACGGGGGAGCAGGGCCTGTCCGTCTTCACCTACCCCAACGCCTGGGCGGCGCTGCTAGACCGGACGAAGGCTGTCTCTGCCAAGTGGGTCCATCTGCTAGGGTTTGCAAGGCCATTGGGCGCTAGGGCACGTGCGCAGGTTGGCCAAGGTTAGAATCGCCCAACATCGCCCTTTCAACCGTCCCTTTTGAGCGAGCGTATGCCACTGGTGGCCCTGCTCATGCCAACAGTCCCTCTCTACGCGCACACGGACGCACGCTCACTGACGCACGCGCACGCACGCATACACACACACATATTCCCACACACACACATCCACACGCACACGCCTGCTGCCGTCCCTCAAAACACGCAGGGGCAAGGACGCGTCTCGCCACCTGACGGGCGTGAGCTTCAATTGGGACAAAGTCTGCGGCTGCGTGGAACCAGAGGAGCGCGATCCCATCAAGTCAGTTTTGATTTTAGCACACCCTCAAGGCTCGGTCCCTTGATGTTTGGGCCACCCCACGAGAGCTTTGTGGGGCTCTATAGCAATCCGCGTTTTCTGGGCAATGCACATGCTGTCAGAGCGACCTGCACCCAGTGTCAGTTGGTCAACTGCTTGGGCCTCGCTGCCAGCGCCGCCTCTGTGATTCTGCAACTTGGACTGCTGACTACAGAGCGCCACCATTTCCTTACCGTGTGCGCACACACACAAATTTGCCCCCACCCACACATAAACACGCACACGCATACGCACACGCACACTCGCACACGCACAAACACGCACGCACATGTATGCGCACACACAGACGCGTGCACAAGCGCACAATCACGCAACTGCGCAATGCACGGGCACGCGTGAGCGATATCGCCCAAGCATTGCCATCCCGAAGGCACCTCCACCACCCCTCACCTCCCCCAGGTACAACAACACATACCTGGAGCGCTTCTCACGCTTCAAGTCCAGCGGCGGCCTCGGCCGCATTGACGTGGCGGGCGTGCGCAAGCTGCTGGACAAGAGTGGTGCGTCTGCCTCTCGATGATTTAATCAACCTGCAAACATTGGAAACCTGGCTTGCTGCACGATTTTGCTCCATTGGCCCTATTGCTGTTGCTTCAACTTGCTTTCTGGTGCTACTTGCCTCAGTTTCAGCATCTCGGCCGCTTCAAGGAGCACATTGGCAAGAGAGGCGCTGACGGCCCTTCACTCGTGACGTATGACCGATACGTCACACCTCACCTGACTGCAGATTTCATCGGCGCATCTGGCTACGCCAGCACTGACCTCAATGTGGTGGCGGCATCTCATGAGGTCTCCGCGGCCACCGTCAACTTTGAATTCCTGTCATTTGGCATGTGAGCAGCTTCGCGTCGTCACTGCTGGGCGTGACCGAACCTGCAGTCAAGCATGGAAACAGGGCGATTGCAAAAGATTATCGGCTCAAGCTGCAGTCCCGGGGGGGGGCTGCATTTTGGTGCATGGCGGGCCTGCCACAAACGCCTTCATTCCTCACCTGATAGACCCCTTGGGTCCAGGTTTGGCCCTGTCCTTGCCGCTGTCCTCACAGCGCATCATCCAATCATTCAACACACCCCTGCATGCACAAAACACTTGCACCCCCCAGAGACTTGAGGACCTACATGTTCCAGAAGAACAAGCCTTTTGTCTACAGCGAGCAGGGCCTGGTGCGCCTTGCATCCTCGCCTGATGCGTGCGCGTCGTTTGGTAATGGGATCCAGCTGTGTGATTGGCACGGGGAGCCGCTGTCGTGCGGGCTAGCTGCAGCTCAGGCACATGTCGTTTACGCATTGACCACCCCTTCTACCCGGACGAACCAATCTGGGTCGGCCTCTACGCCCTTCTTGCGCGCAGGGCGGCTGTCAGAGCAACGGTCAGATCGCCCCTTCACTGCCCTGGGTGGCCAAGCACCCATTCTGGGTGAGACGCGGCTGTCGTGTCTGCTGTGCCAACGCCCTGTTGTTCCTCGCGCCCCTGCAGCCTATGATGCCCTTCATCTGGGTGTGCCGCCGCCTGCCTGTGCAGGCTTGTCTCAGCTGCCAGCGCTGGCATGCAGCTTGAGGCTTGGACACGTTCTGCGCCCTTTGAGGCTTAATTGACCCCTAGCTTGATCCTGTGTGTCTTTTGCCTCGCCTGGCCTTCCACCAGGGCCTGTGGCCAGGCCAGTATGAGACCAAGCTGGATCCCTGGCAGAATACCGAGTTCAAAGGCTACCGTCGCAGGTGAACGCGGCGGGGAGCGATTGATCAGGGAGAAACGGTCGCTTCTGTGGTTGCAACCCATGCAGGCAACGTGCGTCGACAGACAGGCCATGTGCTTTCCTGTAAGCCTGATTCAAATCGCTGTGAATGGCACTATGCGTGGCATTCCTGCCAACCCTGTGCACCTCACCTCACAAATGCCGCCTGCCAGGTTCTATGATGCACTCTCCAAGTTTGCCCAGAACGGCGGCGGTGAGGAGCGCAAACTAGTTTAGATCATTCACCTTGCACCGCCGGTCCTCCCTTGCCCTGGCTGGCCCCTGCTCGCCGCCTGCATTTGCGCATGACCCTGCGCATTTGTGGCTGCGCGGCCGAGCCGCGATTCCCAGAAGCAACTCTTAAAACCCTTGCCATGCGCTTTGCGGTGCGCCCCTCGACCACCGTCAGGCCCGCAATACCGCATCGATGGGATCTTCGTTTGGAGCGTCGGCACCTGGTGTGTTGAGCCGCAACGCCGGGCTCCTGTCTCGGCCTGTCGTGACGCCTCCCGCTTACAGACTCCACAGACACCCGTGTGGGCAGTCCTTGCACCATCTACATGCACGGTCTATCGTCAAACATCACATGCCTTCCCCTCAGACTCATTGAAAGTTGTGCTCGTCCTAGTCCCCGCACCTGCACCCCAACCATGACCCCCCCTGGTGGTGTGCGCAGGGATGTCCATGGCGTCCACCCTTCGTCCTCGTCATCGCAGGGCAGCTTCAAGGACGACAGTGCGTGGGAGCCAAGTCACAGGCTTGGACGCTTTGCTACTGCACGGGCTCTAATAGGATGTGTGTTGCCTTTGCTTAGCACAGCCACTGTGCTTTGATGCATGCCACCCGCTCACATTTCTTGTCCGCCCCAACCCCCACACATCACGCAGCGATCATCGGATACATCAGACAGGCGAATGCCGTCGCCCACGGCGGGGCGCGCCCCGCAAACGCTGCGCCGGCGCCCAACGCCGCGCCGGCGCCCAACACCGCGCTGGCGCCCAACGCCGTTCGGGCCAGCAGCGCTGCCACTCGGCCCGTGAGCCTCGCGGGCGGCCACTTATGACTGTTGGCGCTCTCAGCGTGGATGGCTGCTGCTGTATTGTGAGCTGCGGCCGCACCCTGATCAGCAGGTTGTTGCCAGCCAACGGCACAACCAGCCTCCTGTTCACATTCTTTGGCTGTCCAAGACTGCGCGTTGAGCCCATTGGACGGACGAGCGCCCAACCCCTTCTTCTTGCGGATTCCCTGTGGCCGCAACGAGTGTTGATGCGCAAGCGGGTCATGTGTTGCAGCAATTGGCAGGTGGGCTGCACCCAATTTTGCGATTGGCCAGCCCGCCGCCCGCGACGGCTGAACAAACTTCAGGGCAGCATAGCAACGTTTCAGGATGTTCAATCTTGTGAATTGTCAAAATGCAAAGTTGGCGGCGCTGCTGCGCCACTCGCTGTTGATTCCAGCAGGTGGTGGATGGCGTGCAAACCTTGAATTGGACCCGACAGCTGCGCGTGCGCAACGCATCATGCATCACTCAATGCAGCGACCCGATGGATGCATACTAGATTTCCGTTCCTGTGCATATTCGTGCCGCCACGCGGTCTGGTCCTGCTGAGCCGCCCCACCTTGTTTGTGGGCCTGGCACGTGCTGACACGTTGCTGCAGCAATGCGGCTTTGAGCCATGCAAATGGATCATGTCAGTGTCACATTCAACATCGCAGGGAGGGTTTTCTGCTGGCTACATTATGACAGCTGCCTCTGCTGATGGCTGCTGAGTAACCCTCCAGAGTCGGCCTGCACAGCCCGTTTGCCCGTTGTCGTGTGGCTGCTGCAAGGCAAGCAGCACATGCGCGCCATGGTGACCTCAGTGTAACCAAGATTTCAGTGTGAGTCATTCACAGCTCTGCTGGGCATGGAAATCGACAATGCGGGCGGCCTTTGCGGGCTCCACGAGAACGACAGCAGTGCTCAAGAAGAACAGGGTGGCGGGAGCTCTGGGCGGCGTCAGCCAGCGCCGCCATCGGGCACGGAGAATTCGCGCACAATTGTCTAGCCCCAGGCACTCGGGTGGGTTACAAGGTTGAGTGGGTCTGGCAGCAAAATTAGGTCCAGGCCGATCCATGGTGGCGGAGCGTGAAAAATGCGTTTGCAGCACATGCACCTCACAAGCGGATCCCTCGCACCCTCAGACTCAGCCGGCCAGCCATCGTGCAATCAGCCCCCGACTGCGGCAACCTCAGCTGGCGGTTGCGCCACACTCCGTGCCTATCACTCGAAAAGGGCGGCCTCCCAGCCTGTCACGCCGCACTCGCTACGACGAGGCCTCACAGCCCGGCGCCCGATTGCCGCTGGATGAGCATGAGGATACCCTGAGGGCCCAGCAGGATCTCATTCAAAAACGAGATGAGGCCAACCCACACGATGGGCGTCACGTCCACGCCGCCCACCAGGGGGATGACCTGCGGCGGCAGCCCCGCGAGCGGGCGTCAGGGTTCGTGTACAGCAGCGGCTTCCAACACGACCGAGCGAATAAGTGCACAGCTGTTTGGGGCCCCGATCACACGGTCGAAGCTGCTTAAACGGTCGTGGGATGTGCATAGGCTTCGCATGCCTCGTCGCATGGAAGTGGGCGAGCCAGCATGCATGCAACGTTAATGCACTGCGCCGTGTGTGCGGCCCTTCACCTTCCGGGTGGCCTTGAGGATGGGCTCTGTGGGGCCGTATGCCACGAGCCACGGCAGCTTGGTGCCGTCTATAGAGGGGTACCTGGGAAATGAAGCGACCAGAACAGGGTGTGCAAACCATGCTGGGTCGGATTGCATGCGACTGAGCCGCATGGCTCGAGGCCGGCGTGGGGTGGGGGGATTTCTGCTTGCGAGCGCAGCACGGGGCTGCCGGCAGAACAGCAGTCAGCGTGCGGGGTCGCACCAGGTCATGGGGATGCGGATGATGTACAGGAGCGTGAAGACAGCAAACAGCGGCCGCAGGACGCCCTCCAGAGAGTGCGCGGTGGACGCATCGATGCCAGGCAGCCCGCTCGCGGCTGCAGGCCCGCAAGCGAGAGCTGCGGCTGCGGCGGCAAGCCATGCCGCCTGAGTGCCCACGGCCTGATGGCGCTGCTGCAGAACTTGCTGCGAGCGTTGCTCTGCTTGCTGCTGCTTCTGCTCCGTTGCTGGCGCCTGGGGCACGCGCAGAGCCGCGCTAGGTGCCGCTCGCCGACGGTAGAGTGCAGGCCTGAATGGAACGAAGCTGCTGCTAAGGAGCGACATTCTGCTGGTGCATGAGACCATGCGCGGATGAACGGCAGCCATTGGTGATTGAACGGCAGCCCGTGTGGATGCGAGGCTGCAGCTAGCTGCGGGTGGTGGGCAACGCTGAAACACGGACGACTTCACACAGGCAAAACTCTATCACTGTGACGTCAACAATAACAAACACAGTGCGCTTATGTGATCGGCCAAGAGCGAATGGCGATGTCAGCCCGTGAGTGATGCCAGTGACAAATATATGTCACTCGTGTGATCTTGAGGCTCCGTTCTTCGTCTCAACGACTTGTACACACATTAAAAACTCAATTGTCAATTCCAGGCGGGTGACGATCAAACGTACCATATTCAATATGCGCCGAGCGTCCAGACGCCTCTTGGGCCTTGCTGAGCGAGCAATCACGGACGCATGCGATCCAGAGCGCTTTTTATTATCCTCTGTCCACGCTTCATGGCGCTCCGTCCTCGCGCCAACCCCGGTGCGCGCCGTCAGCACAACGCTGCAGAGCAGCACGACCGCAGCTAGAGCTGCTCTTCAGGCGCGCCTAGAACCGTTTCAGCAGCTGCGCCAGAAGAGCTGCTTGCAGGAAGCCAGCGGTCGGCAGCGGCAGCTGTCCACCGCTGGCGGCGGCGGCGCTGGCGGCGGTGCGAGCGAGGACTCAGCCAGCTGCAGGAGCAGCAGCAGTACGCCCTTGGGCGGTGGCGGTCCTCGCCCTCAGGACCGAAACATGGCGATGGTCTTCACCTGCAAGTGCGGATGGGATCTGCCTCTGCGTGCATTTGGGAGAGGTTATACCACAGACGCATTTGCTGGTATCGGGGAAAATAGATTGTCTTTCGCCGAACAACCAGCACTTGAATCTGCAGGATGCAAGAGGCACAAGCTGTTGTCCTTTTCTCGTCGCAACTACCTGGATTTGCAGCCTGGCCAAACGCCCCCCAGGCGCACTGCCCGAAACAAAGCACGCGTACCAAAAGCCCCCTTTCCGCTGTGGCAGGAAGTGCGACACGCGGGCCGCCAAGTCGTTCAGCCGCCACAGCTACGAGAACGGCATCGTGGTTGTCCGCTGCCCCGGCTGCCAGGTGGGCGGGCAGTGGCGGTGGGCGCTGGCTTGGGCGGCAAGCGCTCATCCTGTCCTCACCAGCCTCCTGAGGTCGCACGGAGACGATTAGTGGTGGCAGGCACCATGACTCAAACCGCTGCTTATGATACCGTCGCCCGGTTGCTTCGTCCTCCCAGTGCTTGCCGTGGCTCTCTGCAAACCCCCCCTGCCCTGCGTCTTTGCGTCATATGCCTCAGTCGATGCACCTGGTGGCCGACAACCTCGGCTGGTTTGAGAAAGGGGAGCAGGGGTTCCGCATCGAGGACCTGCTGAGAAGCCGCGGGGAGAGGGTCATGAGGATAAAAGCTGACCACGCCAGCGGCAGCGACGACGGGGGTGACGGCGGCGACGGCACTGCTGGGCAGCCCTTGTCTGCAGAGGACGTCGCTGGCTGGTCCAAGGTGGGTGACTCCGGGCTGACGTTGGGTGCTGAACCAGAGTTCAGGTGGTTGTGTTTTCCAGAGAGCTGTGCGGCTGCCTTCGGCTGCAGAACTACCCTCCGGGCAGGGCAGACTGAACAGCACACGGCGTGTAGGAACAGTCGTACGCTCATCTCTTCCATACCCTCGTCACTTTGATCCAAATGCCCCAACCTGACGCACCCATACGGTCATTGATCCCATATCCTGTGTGTCATAAAAAGGTCCAGCAGCTGATTCAAGCCACAGCGGGCAGCAGCGGAGCGGCAGAAGGCAGCAGCGGCGCCGAGAGCGCCGCACGGCGTCCACACGCGGCAGCTCAGGGCGGAGGCGGATCGCCTGACCTATCTGGAGATGGTGGGGTGTTGTCGGTCAGCGCGGACGACATGGACGCGTGGGCCCGCGTGGCTGCGTCGCGGGACGCCGGGGCGCGAGGCGAGGGCAGCGGCAAGGGGTGAGGGCTCGTGCGAAACAGGCAGCCAGGCGGAGCGTGGCTTTGGAATGTTGGCAGTGTAATTCACAGGAAAGTAACCCGCGGCCTGCGATAGCACCACGTTCTTCTTGCAGAGAGTAGCACAGCACTTTTGCGATGTATCGCATTCAGCCCTAACTAACGCTGCTGTGGCCCCAAGAGCACGCATCGTTTGTCCAGTTATGCTGCTCAACAGCCGGCGGCCATGCCTGCAGAGCTTGCGTGACCATCTTCTGGCCGCTGATGCAGCCAGTTGGGCCCTGATCTGCTGGACGATGCATGCGTGCGCCTGCAATCCTGAACTTTGTTTTGTCTTGCAGCACGCTGATGTTGTCGCAGCCATCTACCCAGCGCACCCTACGTGCCGGGCCCTGCCTCCTTAAGCCCCAAGCTGGTCAGGTTTCTAGTCGTCATGTCCAAGGTGTGGCTCACGTCATATCGGCCCAGGCCAACACCGCCCAGCCGTGTGCCGGCACTACCGAGACCCTGGGAGAGCCTGTCCGGCGCAGGCTCCCTCCGCCATCGCTCCCCGTGGTGTGCTTCTCATAGCCGGCACACCTGCTGCCATCGAGGCCTGCCGCCCCTGCGTGCTGCAGACCAAGGAGGCGGGCGTGACGACGCAACCGGCTTGGCACGCAGCCACTGCTGATGTGTCTGGAGCAGGGGCTGACCCGGGCCCTGTCCCGGTCGCAGCTGCAGGCTTGGGGGCGTTGCTGCTGTAAAGCTCTGGTGCCCGGCCCTCATCACAGGCCCCATGCTCGCGATGGGTAAAGGTGCAGCTTATGCGGCATCAGCCTGTGTGAGGGCGATCTGTGATGTGATGTCTGCGCATAATGGCGCCATGCAGCAATCAAAACGCAAAGGCGTGCGCGCACTTGACCTCGCGCACCATGGTGACCGTTGCGCTTGTGGCCAGGGGGCACCCTTGTTGTACCGTTCCCTCCCTCACTAAATGGGCGTCACCCTGCCGAATGAGCCTAGTGACGCTGAGCCAGCAGGGCAGAGGTGCATGATGCGTTGGAAAAGTGTACCTCGCATGCAAACCTTGACACGATTCCCTGTTCACTGCTCAGCATCAGCACCAGAACAGCGAGGCCGTCACTACTCTGATCTCAGCTGCAGGGAAGCGGTCTACGGCTTCAAGGCCGTCTCGGGGACAGTCCGTGCGGTATAAATCTGTAGCCAAGGCTGAACTGGACCAATTGTGCAGGATCGAGCGTGTGTTGCAGGCGGTAGTGATCGATTGGGAACCCAGGCACCGGCCGATTCGGCCGTCCTGCACGGTCGGTGAAACCAGCTGGGTAGAAGTTTCTTGCAGCACCATGGCGTGCCATGGCCTCGTGCTGCTAACTTTGTTGGTCGCCAAAGCGGCAGGTGAGGGAACAGGTTCGACCCCCCAGGGGGCCTGCTGGACCAGTGCGCCCACTACGCCGCTTGTAGTTGTGCAATGTCAGCAGCATCTGGAACCGTCAGTCAACACAACCTGCATGCGGTGTTACGTCCGCCATGATGGCACTGCGCAGCACTTTGTTAACAAGGCCTGCTGAACAAGGGCAGTACGCCCGCCGCCCGCGCGCCACCTGCTGCGCGCCAACCAGGCCAAGGCCTGCTGCCAAGCGATGAAATGCTAGGCGCGAGTGGCGCGACCGCCACTGCCCTGGTCAACGCCTACGCCGCTGCCGCCAAGCAATGGAAGTCTGCTGTCAATTGGCAGCAGGCCCTCAAGGCAACCCCAAAGGAGGCGTGCGTGGGGACTTCGCAGAACTCTCTCTGCTCCTCCTCAGCCAGCCAAGGTGCGGCTGAATTTGTGCCAGCTGCTGCTCCACAAGTCAGCCTGACTGGATGAAGGGGTTGCAATGGCACCCACTTGACACACGTCCTTTGCGCCCCTGTCCCCCGCATGCACCTCTTACTTGCGGCTCCTGCCCACGACTGCAGATGCCGAGAAGCTGGCCACGCTGATGTTCGCAACATCGCCCGCCAATTACAGCTCCCTGGAGCGCCACAACGGAGGCGCCCATTCTGTCATCTCCCCCGCACGGAGCCAGGGCGACTGCGCCACCTGCACAGCGTTTGTTGCTGTCACGGCGGCCGAGATGCAGGGGCGTCTTGTGCTGCATGCAGCGTCATGAAGCGCACTGACGCGCAAGGAAGGGCTCGCTCATTTGCAATGGCCTTTTCTAGGCCATTGCAAGGTTCGCAACCCCCCTGAACCAGCTCGCAGCTCACCACATTGTTCGTGGCCGCTGCCTGTCCCCTGCCCCGACGGCCCCACACGCGCAGGCGGCTGTTGCCAGCGTTCTCGACCAGCCTGTGACCAGCGTCGGCCAGCTGTCACCTCAGGACCTGTACTACTGCGGCGATGAGCGCCGCTCCTGCGACACAGGTGCTCCAATGGCCAGGTTGCTGCAGCAGCTTGAGAAGGGACAGCAGCCGGTGTTGGAAGCGTGCCTGCCCTACCAGCAGCCCGATCTCAGGGGGGTGGTGACACGCCAGCAGCTCTGCGCCAAAAAGTGTTCTACCACCAGCCCGCTGGCTTCCACGGGGTCCTTCTCGGTCATACCCATTACACGTTTGTGGAAGGCGCAGCAGCACATTCGAGATTTCGGCGCCGTGGTGAGTGCTGTCAGTGAAGGGGGCGCCGTCTGCGAGAGAAACCGGTTGAGCTCGTCGTACGTTTTTTGCTTTGAAAACTACGCTACTTCCCCGCTCCCCTTGAACGCAAACTTACCAAAGACATTAGCGCGTGTGCACTTGCAACCTCAAACACACACCCACACGCCCGCCCCCCAACACACAAACACGCTCACTCAAATTCACACACACAGGTGCGTGAACGCGCACATGTGCACACGCATGCGCACAGACAAACGCGTGCACACACACACACACACACACACACACACACACACACACACACACACACACACACACACACACTGACGTGCGCGCGCATGCATGTGCCCACGCGCACTTGTTTCATGTCTCTGCAACATTGTATCCCCGCGTGACACTCTTACCCTCTCTTCCGACATCATTGCTAGGCTACACGCTTCAATCTCCATGAGTGAGCAAGTTGTTGGGTTTACTTGCATGTGTGTACCTTGTTTTCCATGCGTTGTGCGTCCTGGCCTTGCACTGCAGCAACCTCGTCGCAAGGGTTCAGGTGTCAACTTTGGGGCCTACGGTGGGCACATGCCTGAGACCGTTCAGAGCAGTTGAAGCCATTGAGGGCCTTCCACCTGCGCACCAAGCAAGGTCACAGAACAGGGACTACTTCGCGAGCACATGCATGCTGAGCCACGCACCTCCACCTGCATCCCTATCCGTTCCGTGCACATTGCGACGCTGCCAGTGACTTCAAGGCATTCTTCGACAATGCCAAGAATGCTAAGGCTGTCTACCGCCCATCACCTGGCAGCCCAATCATTGAGGGACACGCCGTCGTTCTGGTTGGGTGCGCGCGCTGCGGTGATGCAGTATACATGTGCCGCCTCAGCCTTGATTTGGTGAAGCTGGGGTGGCGTGGCAACTTCCGTCCCTGCAAGCCGGCCCGCACTCGCTCCCTCGATTTACGTGGGCGTACCAACCTGTGTACCCCCCCCCTCTCCCTCTCCCTCCCCCTTTCCCTCTCCCTCTCCCTGTCCCTCTCTCTCTCTCTCTCTCTC